GGAAATTTTTAATCTAAGTGTGTTTTTTATTATTTATTTGAATATTTTTGGGGGGGCCTGAGAAAAATAAATCTAAATTTCACAAGAAAAAGCTTTTAAAACAGATACAAAATCTTATATTCTCCCATTTCCAATCTTCAAAATCATCTCGCAGTCCCTCTAATGAATACTGCGACCAGCCTCGGTGCTCTGTTCCGTTTCAGATCCTTTAAGGGATGATTTACACTCTGCTAACAGCCAACAGATACACTGCAGCTCAGAGAGGGACCAACTCTGATTACATGATAACAAGACAGACAGTTAAACACTGAGTCATCTTTGTGATCTAGTCCCACTCAGCGTGTCCTCCCATTTGCACACACTCCGCATTACTCTTACGTCGAGATAAAGGGGGAATACGCCTTTAAACAATTACATTACAACAGTTGGTATCTGATCACTGCTGGGTTTGTCAGAAACTGCCATCTTTGATCTCCTTTACAGAAGCACTGAACCATTTCCTCGGCTTGGAGAGGGAGACAGCAGATTAGAGGGAAGGCTGCCCTCTTGAGGCTGCCATCCATCAATATTTGCCATCTTCATGCTACTTGGGTGGTTTTTTTTGTATTACTGTAATGGAGCTCGTGATATTGTTCCACTCCACTCGGATCTTTATTAAAAGTGCTGTTTGCGGTGACGATCGCGATAAGACGGATACCTTTCCGGCTAAAAAAGACAAGTCCTCCGCTCCAAGTATGTGAAGATCCTCAGTCGACTGGTCATTCTGTGGAAACAAAAACACTGATTTCACTTTTTTTTTTTCCTTCTCTGCAAGTTTAGAAGTGTTTGACACTGTTGCATCATAGCAAAAACTAGGCTGCATTATCTTCCCCACAATCTGTAATTTTGTCCAAAAAGAAAGTTGTATTTCATAGATATCATTTCTATAAATACAACAAATGAATGGATTTCAGAGCTACACAATTACATATCATCATGTCACTAATTTCAACCTTTTTGTTCTATTTTTTTTTCATGGCCTGGGCTTCGGTGACCGCACGAAAAACAGCACATTCGAGGAAACGCTGCACAAAGATGCCACTGTCGCGATGCGGTATAAAACATATCACACACATCTTCTGACTCCAGTCATGAGACTCACATCCATCATGAGCCATAAGCATGAAAAGTGCATCTTCCACACACACACACACACACACACACACACACACACAACGCCACTGTCAGAGTCAGAGGGTTTTCTCGACACTCACCAGGTAGCTCTTGAGGCGGATGAAGTGGACCCTCATGGGGATGGTGCGGTTGGAGTTGCGGCTCAGAGCCTTGATCCGGTCCACCAGGTCGGCGCAGAACTGGTAGCCTCCTTTAAGCACGCACAGCACCACGATGTCGTGGTCGCCCAGCTCGTCCATGATGTTTCTGGCCAGACGCTCCGTCCTGCAGAGAGAGAGAAAAAAAAAAGAGAGAATCAAAAACTGTCCAACAGATCTGTAGCTCACAGCTGTGGGGGCTTATTGGTCCAAATACGTTCCAACCGTCTGTCCAGGAAAATAAGTGATGTTTAATCTTCCATGACTTCACTTCTGTTCGGTTGTAAGTTAGCAAAAGGTCTCATAGAAGTGAATAGTTTCAGTAAAATTTGGTGGGAAAAGAGGCTTAAAGAGCTGAAGAACAACTATTTGATGTTTTGTTCATACAGGTTGAATGAATACATCTGAGAAGGCCTGAACGTTTAAATCAGATAATTGTTCCCTCCTTTAACCTGAACCTAAATTAACCTGCAGCTACGTTCATACTTGAGTGATGAATTTATTCAAGCAAAAATCTGCTGGTTAAATGTGAAGCTGTGATGCTCTTCACACATGACAGCAGACTGAATACATCTCAAACTGTTTTTTGGACAAACAAGACATTGATGCTCAGTTTCCCAGACACAGATCACACCTAGAAAAATCTTTTAAATTGGTATCTTTATTGAATTTTTTTTATTTCTGAAACGTGGGGTTATAATCCATATCTGGGAATTTGGAAACTGCATTTTTTTTTTAGCTGCTGTCCTAAATCTAATTAACTTTAAATGTATGGCTCTTGTTTGACCTTGGTGATGTGCTATGTCTCATGTATTAGCAGTAGGACAGAGTTCTTTTAATCAGACACTTATATGATTATGTGATTTGCAAAAAACAAAAACATTTTCCACATCAATTTCATATTAAACCCCATCTGAACCATGTAAGTCAGTGATGTATCATGTGAGATCTGATGCAAGTAAATATTCAGATGCACATTCAGACTTTTATGTAGTTTTTTTCAATGCTACCAAATTTTCTAAGTATGTGTTAGTGGTGCTTTCATTTCAAGCCATAAAAACCAGCAGGTTCAAACCACACCACCACGTTTTATCCCTTAAGTCTTCCCTCAGATCTGTCCAAAGCCACATGGAGCTTTTATGCAACCGCAGGAGAATTAACTGGAAATATGATGTGTTATTCTGCACGACATGTTATTTTTGCTTGGGTTTTTATGTCCTGTACCTGTCCATAATCACGCCATGCGGAATGATGACACAGTCTAAGTCTCCGGAGTAGTGTGCCGGGTAGCTGAAGAGCTCTAAACTGTATCCCGGCCAGTCATCGCTAATCTGGGAGGAGAGAGATAAACATCATGTTGGAGTCATGCTGATCGCCTGCAAGTCACAAAACACCAGCTTCGCTCTGTGCTGCAAAGCTGCACCGCAAAACACATGTGGCTGTGCACAAACTACCGCTACGAGGCGCGCAAACTTGTCCGATTGCGCAGAAATGTGCAAACTTTCTCCTGCGCGTCCCCCCTCCCTTGTCTCCTCTCTCTTCGTTATTTAATTACCACAATCCCTTCGCTTCTTCCCTCGGACTGGACGGCAACTTCTGCCATGTTGTTCTCCGCCGACACAAAAGAGGCTCTTGTGTGAAGAACGCGGCGGTGCGAGCCTTCACCGGGACTTGGCACCGAGCGCAGAGAGGAGGAGCGTCAGGGCGCAGGAATGTTCAGAAACCACCAAACAGCGTGCAGCTCGGCGCCTCCGCCACTAGGAGAGCTCCAACATAACGTTTACATGTCAGGAGTCTCTCTGCTGCTCGTTAAGGGGCCCCACGGTTCAGGTTTTTAGCTGCTGGAGGGCCGGAGGGCTGTTCTTATGTATCCTGGTGCAAAGTAAAAGTGCAAGAAACATGCACTGAACTAGAATGTAAAGTTAAGTAGGAGTACAAAAATCTGCCTTAGCTGGGAAATTTAGGACATTTGCATGAGTAAAAGTGGTCATTGTGCAGAATGGAGTTCATTTTAGCTGCTTTATATAAAACTGAGTTGTTAAATCCAAACCTGTGCATCAAAGCTGATTTATCTGAGGAGTAAAATGTTAGTCTGCATGTTCTGGAAATCAATGAAGGTGAGTACAAAATATGTTCTCTGTCTGTCTTTTATCTGCTCTGTAATTCTGCTCAAGAAAAGAAAAGAAATTAGCAGTTAAGTGGCAGCTAAAATCCTTAAAAAAACTAAACAAAACAAAAAAAGAAAATCTTGCAGCACTTTTACCAGTAAAAACAGTGGTAAACTGAATTTCAGTAAAACAGCATAAATTTACAGTCAACCACAGTAAAAACAAACAAACAACAAACAAACAAATACATTGAAATATATATATATAATTAATAATTTGTAAAAAAAAAAATCCATATTTTTGATGTAGACATTATGTATAGTTTTTTACCTGTTAGCTTTGTTTTACAGTTAGTTGTGATTTTACTAGATATGGTCGTTTATCAATCTATGTAAAAAAAATTCTCTAAAATAACAGTTAATTAAAAAAAATGTTTCAATTATTAATCGATAATTCAGTGAACAGCAAAAATCTGTGAAAAAAAATTATCAGGATTTAAATGCTGTAAAAGAAATCATAACTTTATCGTCAAACATCCATCCATTATCTATACACCACTTAATCATCATTAGGGTCATGGGGGGCTGGAGTCTATCCCAGCTGACTCAGAGTGAAGGCAGGGGACACCCTGGACAGGTAACCAGTCTATCACAGGGCTACACTTAGAGACAGACAACCAAGCACACTAACATTCACACCTACAGAGATTTTAGAATCACCAATTAACCTCAACATGTTTCTGGACCTTGTGGGAGGAAGCCGGAGAACCCGGAGAGAACCCACGCTGCACGCTGAACTCCACCTGGCAGCTCAAACATGAAAAGTGAATTATATTTATAGTTATTTTTCTGTTAACATGTAAAGAAATTCAAATTGTCTGTGATTTTACTAGTTATTATCTGTGATTTAACAAAACGGGTAAAATCTGTGAAATAATAGTAAATTGTTTTTAAAAAAAATAAACAGTTAAAATTGAATACCAGCTTAAAGGGACAAAAAGTAATTTCAAGTTTTAAAAAAAACCCCACAAAAATAAACACTGGGCACCAAAACAGTAAGATAAAAGACTATCTAGAAATGGTAATTTACTTCAGCTGCAGCTCAAACATACTTGTCATAGTGTACCAGACTTTTACACAATACTGTTTAGAATTTGCTGTTTTTGAAAAACTATCAACATAAACCAACACATAATGATGTAATGAACACACACAGATCTGCAAGAAGGACAAACGAGGGAAGTTTCTTTCATCAGCCGGAACAGATAATAAGAGTCTAGCGCTATGGAAGGGCGACTGAGCAAACACAATGGATCAGAAGCCAGTTCCTGTCCCGGTGCAACTGCAAACATTTCCATGAGACCACAATGAAATGAGCACCTTCCATTATAACACCACCTTTATCAGTCCATACAGAGGAGTGTATGAAGTTTTTAAATGTGCCAATGTTGCCATCTAGTGGACAGACACACACACCTCTGGATCTTTTGTACACAAATCAGATTATTTTAGTTTCTAATGTAATTGAAGAGTCACATATTTGTGATTGTTGCGTCCTCTTGAACATTTTTTAAAGCACTGCTTCCAAATGCAAGAGAGAAATAATAATAATGATAATAAAAAAGAAGGCATACAGGTTTGCAATGTAAGAGAATCAAGTGCCACACCCAGTCTCTTTATTTACAATATAATCTGCATGGATAAATTTGGGATAAAGCACGCAGGGATCCGTGTGGTCAGTCCGTCCAGCAGCAGCAGCAGCAGCAGCAGCAGCAGCAGGGTCTGGGCTGTTGTGTCACCGCACATTAGAGCAGTCTGCTGGGCTCGGTTGAGAAGCGGAGACAAGGTGTCTGGGCCACCCACCCATGCTCTTCCACAGCAGCTGTAATTTAAACAGCGCAACAATGACAGCTGGGGAGGCAGATGTCAACAGCAACATTAGATTTCAATCAGCCCGCACAGTGTCACCACCTCGGAGGAACGAGGAGGTGTTGGAAGCACGCTGCATGACAAAAATCCCCCACAATTTAGACAAAACACTCACTGTCTGCACAAGTTACTTCACTGGATGTGGAGGGGTTGTGTTGTTTTGTTTTGTTTTGTTTTGTTTCAGATCATAACGCTGCAGGCTTGGAATAATCAAGCTCACGAGCATCTCGCTGCGGCGACGCCGCACAAGCCAAGGAGATGCTTCCAGGATGAGGCCTTGTCAGATTGCTTTTGATGCCCTCTGTGTTGGTGAGAGCGGGCCGGGCTCCTTCGCTGCCCTCGGGGTGCAGGGGAGCAGTCTGGCCTTGGCATTTCACACTCGCTCAGCAGTCAAGCCCTGTGACCGTCTGCAGACCTCACCGCCAACTGCTCCCTTATACCCTCGCCCCCTTGTTGTTTGGCCAATTTTGAATATTCACTTGCTCTGAAAGTAATTCTGTCGGACACGCGACTGTCCGGCCGGATAATGTCAGCGGTGTTGTTGAAGAATCTCACCATTATTCTCCTTCTTCTATCAGATTTGTGATATGGATGCTGGCAGAAAGCAAATAGTAACCTGACCTAAATATGCTGAATATTTATTATTCAGAGCCTGGTGTACTGTAGGTTATTCCTCTGTGGGCTCACTTGTTGTAGAAAACTACTAAAAACAACACCAGGAGCTGCACTGTTACACCGGTTAGCTGCTTGTTTTTTTCATTGCTATGAATGAGCGACGTGTTTGCTGCTGCTTCCAGAAATACTCACGAAAGCTGCAGAAGAAAATAAAGCTCTACATACATGAGTCATGTTTTCTAAAACCTAGAGTGGTACCAAACTTTCCTAATTTTTAGAGACTATTTTCCTTACTAGGAAATAGACGAGCTAAGAAAGTGCACGAATACCAAAAAGGAGACTCCTTTGTTTTGGCTTTTCATAACATTTGCTTGCAGTGACATAAATGTTGAGATGTTAGAAAAAGGTTGGAAATGCTGTTTAACTATAATCCCACCTGGAAAACACTAAAGAGAGCTGATTACAGAAGCACATCAATGCAAAATATCTCATTTTAACACTTTAACACAAACTTTTCTCTCTATTTTTGCATCATCTGCACTAAATGCATGACTTCTGTTGTGTTTTTCTGACTGCATGTAAACTAATATGTTGGATAGGAGCCATTAAAAGGAGGGGAGGCTCACTAACCTTGGTTGACTTTCAGTTATCACAGCAGAGACCGTGATTACCATCGTGGCGAGCGAAACCCAGACTCCTTTTTTTTTTTTTGCTCTCTCGTAAACTCCACAATAAAAAAATGCTGATGTATGATGGCGCTGTATTACATATCATTTTAATGCGTTGAAAACCCTTTTTTTTTTCTTTTTTTTTTCTCTTTTTTTCTTTTCCAACAAAGCAAGTCAAGCACAATGGTGCACATAAACACATGTTGAAAGTTCATGAGCTATTTCACGAGAAGAGGGGAAAAAAAACAACCAAAGTAATAGCCTAACATTAAGCATAGCATTAAAAGAAAGTAATAATAAAAAGAAATATACAAAAAACAAATAGGCCACACAACATTAAAAAAAAAAGTGTCTATAAACAAGGTTAGACTGCTCGAAAAACACATTATTCAACATAATGATTTGTCCCTTCTATAATACTTCATGGTTAACATTTCTTCATAAATGTGGTATAGTGGGGAAAAAACAAATTAGCCCGATATAGTACTGAGACAAGCGTTAATTCCAACGTCTATATTTGTTTTGGTGTCAATTCTAGGGTTTCTACAGCAGGACCAGCAGAATAATATATCGATTTCTATGTAAATAAACGCCCTCCAAAGAGGACACATCTCAGCAAAAAAAAACAACGTGGAATGTAACATCATCTTCAAACTGTCCTCAGCTGAGCAGCAGCAGCCAGTTCAGGTACATCCACATGCTTCTGTCACGACCGCCATCAGCAGCTTCACGCTCTCTGGACTGTAGGTTCAGGAGCAAAGGATCCACTGTGTAAAACTCTATTAACATAATGACTTCCCTGTTTAAGTGGATTGCGGCTTCATGTATTGAAAAACAAACTCAGTTACAGACGTCCGTGACAAACTTTCTTTTGCTCAGAAAGCCATTTTTTTTCCTCTTCCTCTCAACGGGGGCAGAGTTATTCACTTGATTGTAGCACCACGGCCGAGAAACAAAAAGTAGAAAACTTAGATGAGTAGAAAAAAAAGAAAAAAAAGGAAATAGCAAACATGTGATGAAGTAATATATTAAAAACAGACTTTTCTTGGTTTTCTTTTGGTTACATCAGCATTTTGGCATTGTCCAAAACAAACCCTTCTTCTGCAGAGAGATGGTGGAAATCAATGACAGAAAAAAAAACACCAGGAAGGATTCAAGTTAACAGTTTTTTTTTCTCCTCGTCCAGCAAAGATCAACAGAAAAAAAACAAAAAAACCCAGACACAATTCTTGTTCTTCTTATTGCGTCAGTAAATCAGACATTTCTGTAACTGTCACTCTACCAATATGCTGCAGAACCAAAACCAACAATGTGTAAAATAATTTAATATATCTTGCATCTTAATGAACGATGTCAAGCTTGTCTGATTTGATGACAAGTATTTATTTATTGTTTTACAGATAACATACTTCACAGGGTTACCTTAGAGGTAAGAATCTCCTGACAGAACTCGGTTTTGACTCGTCGGAGACAGAGGGAGGCAGGGGGGGAGGGAAGATGAACATACTTTTTTTTTTTTTCTTTTTTTTTAATCAAGCACACATTGTAAACAACTGAGCAATATTTAAGTCTAAATGGCGTACCATAGAATAGGTGAGAGACAACAAAATGTAAGTAAGAAGATGTGCCTCTTGCTTGCAAAGACAAAAAGTTTTCATTTTTACAAAACAAATAATGGTCACTGACATTTTTTCTACGTTTTTATTTTTATTTTTTTTTTAGTGGCTGAGAGGTAGAATGGAGTATTTTCAGTTAAAACCAATGATTTTTTTTTTTCATTTCTTTACTTTATCATTTCATCATAATGAGTGAAAACATTACGAGTGAATAAGGAACCCCAGCCCTCCGATTATAATGTGAAATCTGTACAAACGTCTCCATTGATTGCGATATTGTTTTGACTTTTATTGTGAAACTTCTTGTTTGTATCCCAAAAGTCCAACGGTATAAGCAGAGGAAATATTTTTTTTTTTTTTGAAACTTTTTCTGGTTAGGATTTCACAGCACCTCGCCAAACTGTGGGACAGTGAATTCCTTTGTTTAATACTGTGAATAGCAACGTCAGTCCATGTTGTTGTTTTTTTTTTCTTTTTTTTTTCTTTTTGTGGATGAGGTGTAGAGATGGATATATTCAGTTGGAAGTATCTGAATGAACGCTTCCGGGTCCTTCTGTGGGCGATGTCACTGACGAAGGAGTCGGAGCATCTTGCCAGCCGCCGTTTGTCTGTGAAGATACGACGAGGAGGGGAGGAAAAAAAAAAAAAAAGAAGTCAGCTTACGGGAAACACAAGCATGAGACAAAATCTGTAAAGAAGTGTCAACAGTAGCTTATTTCTATGTGTCATGGAGCTTCAATGCAAAAAAATACTTTCACAAGCTCCACACCAACGCTGGATGACACAACATGTGGCTTTTTTGAATCTTACATGCAAAGTTGTGCTGCTTGAAACACACACACAGAGGCACCAAACGTGTCATACACTTGCAAACAGCCTTTATTAACTCCTATTTGCTCCTGTGTGGTTAGAGTCCGGCTCCTTCAGTTTACAGTGTGTTATATAAAATGGATTATATATGTATTTATAGCCTTAGTAATATGCAGAATTATTTAGGTTTAAAACTAACATTTCACAGAGACAGCAGGAATCCGAGGAAGCCGCTGTGTGCCGTGCTCATGGCTGCGACACAGCTGCAACTTTCACACATTTTAGCTTTTGCACAGATCAAATGAATAATGTGTTAATTAGCGAGATTTACAGACGCCTGACAGAGCCAGACTGTGTAAAGTCTAACCCAGAGGAACAGGTATGAAGGTGGAGTCGTGGTTATTTGTCCTGAGATAAATAATAATAATAAAAATGATCAAAATAAAAATAAAACAAAATCAAATCAAACAGCCACTAAGGAATTAATTTACACAGGGAAATAAGTCCCCTGTCTAGGCAAAAATATAAAGTTTCTTCGGTGTATTTCCGTTGCAAGCAAACAAGCAATGGCTCCTCTCTCGCCCTGGTAAAAAAAACCATGAACCCTCCCAGGTGCCTGCTCACCTGTACCTGCGTACCCATATATGTAGATTCACCCAGTGCCTTCAAAATAAAAGCATGAACAACTACTCAAATGAACAAAAGTGGTACTGATATTATAAGGCAACTAAAGCTGCGTTCTTTAAACAAAACAACAAAAATAAATGACTAAATATGTAACTATTAAAAATTTTGATAATTCTGATACCAAACAGCTTCAATAGGTGGTATCAATCTACTTATTTAAGTAATCAAACATCACATCCCGTCATGATGATAAACACGAGCAGCTTATTCAGTCCGTGCACGCATTAGGCTCCTGCAGAAAATAGCCCCTAACAAATGAACTCTTTATTGCTTTTAGAGTGTTTTATAATAAGCCACACTACACGTTATTTACAGCGTCTGTGCATCTGTTGAAAATAACATAAGTATGGATTTCTATTTACGTACAATCTGTGCAAGACGTCTCTCAGTATTTTTATTAATGAAAGGATCCGTGCAAAACCACTGACATGTGTAATACTGTAATACTGGTTTCTTTTTTATTTTTGTGCCACATTTGCTAAACTATCTTTACTGTATCACTGCAAATTACTCCCACAGCGGGATTAGTAAAGGCTCATCTTATCTTATCTTACACTATGTGACTGTGCTGCATGTTCATAAAAATACTCTAAGTGTAGAAAGTGAAAGTCAGAAAGAAAGTGCTTGGTGTAGGTTTATTTGGATCCTATAAACGAAAAATACAAGAAATTAGGTGCATCCTGAACTTCTAAGACTCTGACAGACAGCATTAGGAACCGTCTTCTACGAGACTCTTCATTTAAGAAATATCCTCGTGCCACTTCTCTCATTTTCCCTCCAAACGCCTGACATAATGTGAGATAAACAGAAGAGACGAGAAACAGAATACGCGGACCTTTCATATATCTCAGAATATACCCCCGAGATGGTTGATAAAAGAATAAATTATCACAACAAAAAAATAGCTCTTTAAAATGGAAGCCCTCTCAAATCATGATAAAAGGTTGACTAAAGACCATTAAGGACATTAATTGCAATTTCCACGCTATTAGTGAGCGCTGGGAATGTGCTGTGGCAGCCTCTTATTTCCAAACCCTGTTATTTTGTGTAAAGACCGACTGTCATCTTATTCAGAAGCAAGAGGGGAAAAAAGAAAATGAGGGAGAAAAAAAAAAAAAGGTCCAGTCTCTGAGAGAGGCGACACCCACTAGCAATTTGAGGGGTGTAATTGCTGTTCAAGGATAAAGACGGAGAGGTGAAGCACGAGAGTTCAGTCTGCAAATCTTAGAAAGAAAAAAAAAAAATACCATCGGGTTAAATAAATACAAGACCTCATTCACAAGCTCTGCGCTGCAACAAGCACAATGAGAGCCTCGGATTGTCATCATTACTGATACCCGGCTTTCCTATTAAGGCTGGATGCTTAGAATCTGTTCAGCCATAATTAGCTTTATCAGTAGTTTATAATACGTCGCTGCCTGATGTTTAAAGTTTGCACGGTGGCTTCTTCTAAAGATCTAAACTCCCGACTGGATGAACTTCTGGCTGGTTGTTGCTGTAGTTAAATTACTGCAAAAATACTTTTTCTCACTCACTCATGTGTCATCATTACATTTGAGGCACGGGGCTAAATAAATATTTGCGGATCTTTAAAGAACCTAGAAGGTCATTTGACAAGGAAGTTCCAAAGATCCTCGTCTAATCATCTGAAAGAAAAGATATGATGTTTGCAGCACAACCAAAAAACTTTTGATTCCTAGTTGAAATGACATGATGTCCTCTCTCTTTCTGCAAACAACAAGCAAAAATGTCATTTAACATGAATAATGTGTGAAGTTTCTTTGTTTTTAAACCACGTTGTGGGCGAGAGATTTATAATTCCAGCAATTCAAGTTCTAATTCAGGTTTCTCTTTCTTCATTTTATTCTCAGCCTCATGCGAAATGGCACGATGGATGATGGACGGATGAAATTGAGTGTCTTCAAGATCGTGATGTTGCGTGTAAACAGAAACATGCAGTGTGAGGAACATTTAGTGCATCTCGACAGGATAATGTGCAGTAACTGGACAGTGTGGCCACTTAACATTCATGACTGTCCGTAATCGGCATACATGCAGCTATACGTCCGCAGGCTGTGCAGCAGAGGCATGCGGCTGTATTTGCATGGCTCAAAAGTTCATTGCAGAGGCCAAATTCCACCTCACACTTAGTCTGGAGGCTAGTTTTGGTTTCACAATTTCAGATTTCCTCAGCGTTCATTACAGCACACTATAATAAAAAAGCATCCACCTCCAGTCGAGCCTGTTGCATATTGCAGCACGCTGGACGCGTTCGTGTTCTTATTTTAGCACGAGGGGTGTTGCAGGCTTGGCTGTCAGTGCTGCTGTTCCTGTGGATGAATGATCTGACCAATGTGCTTGGACTGTTAGCCCAAAGCCCCGCTCTTTCTGTCCCTGTGACTGTCGTATTGATTCTGTTCAGCCCCGCACAGCCTGTCGCTATGGATCTACATGCTAACGCACTGCCTCCAGTTGTGCCTGTCCCGCCCTGCCCAGCCCAGCAAGGAGACCGACAACTGGCCCGGCCTCTGACAGGCTCGTTAAGGAGTTATTTTAGGAATTAGCGACCGGGAACTTTTCCTGCGAAGCCGGTCTTGGAGGGCGAGTGTGACTTTTCCTACAGTGCCGACGAGAGAGCAGCGTTTGGGAGGGAGGATGACACCTGTGTCCTTGTTTCTGTCGACTGCAGGTGCCTCACTAACGCTAATACCCTCCGACAGGCTAGGAGCATGTCCAGCTACTCAGCCTGGTAGCTGCCTCATTGCCTGCCACCTAGGGCACGGGCTGGAGCAGGGGAGGGAGGAGGGGGAGGAGGGGAGGGGGCAACAGGCTGGACAGCAGCCCAACCCCGGCAAAGTCTGCTAAGTGGCATCCCAGCGTGCAGACAGATTCAGACGATAGCACCACACACATCCCAAAGTAAAACAGCAAAGAAGCGTTAGGAAGGACGGAGGGAGATTGTTTACAGGTCTTACGTTGATGCCCTGTGGACTGTACATCTGGCTGGCTGCGAGGCTGTCACTGTATCCTCCGGTCTGGCTGATAACATGGCGAAGGGTATCCACCTGGAACAGCGGGGACACAGACAAAAGGCCTGGTCAGACAAAAGCTCCGGATAACAAAGACAGCTATGCACAAGGAAAGGTCAGTCTGATAGTAAAAGGGTACCGTAAACAGGAAAAGGTTACAAACAGCGAATCAGAATGATTAGGCTGCTAATACGAGCTTGATAACAGACGCGGCAAATTGACAACAACACGAGAAAAATTACAGGGAGCGACTAATTATGAATGCATTTGTAGTTGTGGTTAAATAATGCATCAAAATCAGGCATTGGTGGTCGTATGTGTCTACATAAACTACCCGTTTACTGCACATGCACTATGCAGGGTTTTTTTTTTTTAACCACAAATGAGACATGAAGTTTCACAACAAAACATCTGGCACGGCTCGGTCATTTTCAAAAGTAAAAGTTGCAGTTTTTTTGCAGCTTATGCACAAAAACCTTCCACATTGACTTCACAACAAGTCCAACTGCTCCACTGAAGAGGCCAATCCAACTAAACTTTCTTTCATGTAACTGTAAATCTCTCAGAGGTGAAGCGATTCTGACGTGATCGGGAGAACAACCCTTTCAAAGCAACATGGGTTTCGATAATTAAGGCCAAACCCCGAAGAGCTCTTTACCTCCTATAAGGGTCGCTGCTTTTGCATATTCATTAGTGACCTAAAGCATCTGTAGAGCTGATCTGAACAGAAAAGGAAGGATGGAGGGACAAGAAAATGATGCCAAAAGCATTAAAAGCAAATGAGAATATCACCGTGGGTGGTGATTCCTTAATCTATAGTGAGAGTTGCAACACTACGGTGGTCATAACTGTCCACTGGGGCAAGGTCAGGGAGCCACAGTGCACCAGTGGCTATGTGAACTCTTGTCAGGAGTGCTGATGAGTGCTGCATCGTTTCCAAAACTGTCTGCCGTCGTCTATTCAACGGCGACTTGACAATGGTTTCTACATTAATGTACGGCCTCGGGCTAAGTGTAACCTCCGTTCCACTGTGTAGGTCAAGTTGTTGTGGGGGCATCTGAACTCCCAGACTGGTCAGTGGCTGCACAATGAGCTCAAGAATAGGTCAGCTTTGTAGGACACTAAGCTTGGAGAGGCGCCTACCTGGGATTGTATGTTGGCCCCAACCTGCCCCCCTTGGTACGAGTCCCCATTGAGGGACTGCACACTCATGAACAAGTCTCCGGAGTTTGACATGTTAAAAGAGCCAGCAGAACCTGAGAATACACAGAGGCAGAGAAGAAGAAAGAGAGCAGGAGAGTAGGACAAAGATCAGGAGAGAGAGGAGAGAGTAAGAGGGGAAGAAGAGAAGGACAGAAAAAGGAGTTAAAATGAGCATGCATAAGCAAAAGTGCATTAAGTGGGTTAGTTTGAGAGGGTGGCCAGCATAATGAAAAAGGCTTTTTTTTTTCTTTCTTCTACACGACAGAAGCAGTGGATGAACATTAAAATATCACTGAACCATAATTCCAAAGGACAAATCAACCAACAGGGACAATCAGACAAGATTCTCATCGTAAAACTATTTAAGCCCCAGTTAAAATGAGCCGTATGGATTGTATTACCGTTAAACGTCCGTGCTGCTAGTGTTTCATTAAGGAAGTAATAATTGATCTGCAGGAAGACCCAAAGAATCGTCTTCGTCCTTTAATGGACCCCAGCTCCCCAGATGTAAAGAGACCATCGCGTAACTTGATTTCAACACCCGGTCCTAATCCAATACAGTTGCAAAGTCCTCTATATGACAAAAGACTCCGCTTGCCCTCTGAGCAGCTTAATGGCATACACGAGGTCAACCGGACAAGAGGCAGGAAAAATTAACGTCCACAAGACCAAGAGGTCAATAACAGAGAGAGAGAGAGAGGCAGAGAAGAAAAACTGGAACAAATAGAGCGAGAAAGCTAAAGCGTATTACTGGGTTATTTAAGGAGAAGATGGGCATTCTGTTAGTCTCAATGAAGCAGCACCAGAGACTGACTTCTTGAGTGCTCCATCCTTGTGCTTCTTTCTCCTCTGATATACCATAAAAGTAGATTTTTTAAATTTTTCCATCCACACAGCTTCTTCTAACACAACCCAGAGGTGTTATCTGGAGCCTGGAGCTCACCTGCTGAGTTGGGAGTTGAAGGGGAGTTGGCCTGGCTGCCGTGAGCAGACACACTGGTCGCGTTGACGGCGGTCCTCGCTGCGTACATGTTGGCCTCTTCTTGGAACTTGCCGATGTTCTTCTTGTATCGGATTCTCTTGTTCCCAAACCAGTTTGATACCTGTCGAGACAGCAGCGAGTTAATTTCGGCAAATTTAAAGCCCAAACATTCACGCATTAAATCGACTTTGGCAACATTTTACTTGCAGTAGATATTATTTAACACATCTGGATTTAAATTCCTGTGGCAGGTAGCGCATCATGTGTGAGCACTGGGGTCGGTGGTTGCTATGATATAACTGTGGTCGCCACGTGGACTTGAAAAGACGTCACGTGGCTGAATATTATTGGGTTTTATTATGTGTGAAACTTGTTTGTGTCGCAAATCATGAAGCCCTCTGAGCCCCAAAGCCCACCAGTGGGTTTAAAAGACATTTATCTTTTAAAAAAATAAAAATAAAAATAACAAAAGGCACAAAATGTATCAGAGCCACAAATTTTAAAACCAGTCTTTGAACTAATCAGGTGTGATGTGCCGTTCTGTCGGAAAACTTAACCAAATCGATGCTTTAAAGTGTTTTTTCTTTTATTAAGCCCCCTTTATACGTTTAAAAAAATTCCAATTTTTAACTGTTTGCTTAAACCAGATTCTATAAAAAAATTAAAAGTCTGCATTTTCTTGTGCAACCATAAATAAATCAGCGACTTATTTATGACCAACAGTCACACAGCAAAAATTCAGGGGCTTTTTTTTGCAGAATTGGGCTTAACTGCAGACAGTGTTGACACATAAACTAATTAAAAATGTAAGTAGCAAAAAATCTATAGTGTGTATCACTTAAAAAATGTTGTACATGCTGATCTAAAAAAAAAAAAAAAAGTTTTGTATAATAAATATTAAAAGAAATTTAACTTGTGCTTTGCTTTTTTTTTTCTTCTCTTTTTTCTAAATGACTGATAGCACTGTAACTGTAATAATGATAAAAAAAAAAAAACATTTTTGACTTCATTAGTAGCCGTTCTTGTGCTGTTTCTATAGAGGAAACGTTCCATACAGGATTTACTGGAATAAAACCTGCAACATATAAACTGTTGCAATAAAAAATGAGCCCGCAGTGAGTAAAAATGTGACGGGGGCAACAAAATATTCAGAAACTGCTTGGAGTTTAAAGGGTTAATTCTGCCTGTGAATATTTCATTTCATTTACATGGATCACATCTACAAGACAATATTCCCATAATTCCTAGGTTGCAGTTTTACACCAACCCACAGAACAGTAACATTTGTGCAGTGCTGCCTGTGTTTTGATCAGTGATTCATGGACCAGCTCTGGAGCTCGACTATAAGTAACATTGATCAACTCACCATCTTCAGTTCAAATGATGGCCTATATGGCTTGATTGGATGGACTGCGTATAAAACACTATTTCTACTCAGGTTATTTACTCTTGTACAGATGACCTCTCATCATTTTTACTTAGTGGCATTTACACCTTATCAGACTGAAATTACTACAAATACACATCAGACCAGGGCCCCTGCTCACAGCATGCAATCAAGTGTAACATTTTCTATTTTAAAATAATAATAATTTCTCCATCGATCTATAAATTCTAAGTGACACTGAATTTACAGTGCAGCTGGAGATTATTCACAGCGATCCCGTCTCCAGATGAATGTGACTTTAATGTGCCTTATTTCCTTATTATCGACAGTGTTGTCATGGCGACGTCAACTGTTGACGAGAACGTCGTGCGTTGACGCCGAGTTCACGCATTAACGTTACACCAGAGGATTCACTATCAGCTCCTAAATCACAGATACAGGATGTGTTTTGGGTTTTTTTTTCCAGTGCACAGCTTCTAAAATAAGTGTAAAAGTAAGAACGTGTCAGAAACAAGCACAGACGAACAGTTTGTGACTTCAAGGGTCACATTGATGCAGCTGATTGCAGGAAAAGAACACAATTTCTCCTACCAGGCTCCCAAATGTTTGACTATTTGGAACTTGTTCATTAAAAGTAAGTTTGATGCTTAAATCTTATTTTGTTATTGTCAGTAACCCCGAAAAAAATCAGATGAGTCCAGGAACCTCTGCAGTAGAGCTGAGACTGACACTTAGAAAAATAAAGATGCATGAAAAATTAAAAATCTAAAATTTAACAATGTTGTATAAATGTCAAAAAGAAAGGTTTGCTCACTATTAAATAAACCACTCTTTATATTTATTCTTATTGCTATTTAGCATCACAAGCTATCGATAAGGTTTTCTCAGCACCCTGAAGCTTACACCAAGCCAGCATTGTGCTACGACTGATAAAATCAACTGTTAATCTGAGTATTACTGATGGAAATTCCAGCCTAAAGGGCCTTGAGCCCCAGTGATTTCTTTCTTTTTTTTTTTCGTTAATTGATTCTCGCTAACACAGTTCCCATTTCACAGTCTGAGCGGATTCGTTTGTTCTCGCCGGTTACCTGTGACACTGTGATGCCACACTTCTTCGCCAGTTCCTCTTTGGCCTCCTCGCTGGGATAGGGGTTACTGAGATGGGAGTAAAAGTACTCGTTTAGGATCTCTGTCGCTTGTTTGTTGAAGTTCCTCCTCTTTCGTCTGTGCGGAAAACAACAGAGAGAGTAGAGATTTATAAGAATGAGCTCTTACGCCACCATTTTACCAAGACAATGTAGTTTGCCTGAGATAAATAATCATAAAAGCAAATTTTAAAAAAATGGGGCAACAAAAGGTCAAATAAAAACATTTTTTGGAGTAACATGCATTAAAACAGAGGGACAGGTTTAGCTGTACCACAGAACAGGGACACACACAGACCTGGCATCAAGAAAACGCGAGCGCAGGATCATAACGGCCTCGCAGGTGCTCTGTTTCAGCTGCATCTGGATGGAGCTGAACTTGCGGTGGATGATGCTGACCATGCGCTCGATCTCTTTGGGCGAGATGGGTCGTGTTCGAGACTGCTCCCTCAGCAGGTTCATCACATGGGTGGTGAACTCATTGCACGCCTGGATGCACAGACAGACAGGATTCATAAGAAGAATAACTATCACAGAGGCTGGACAGCTTCAGACAGAACAAAAGGATGAAATTGGATTCTGGAGAGGCTGCACCTTCGCTCGCAGGCCTCGGCCCTCGCGCAGGCAGCGCTGACAGTATAACAGCAGCAGTTTTAGAGGTAATAAGAGTAGTCTAAATTAAAGCAGCAGACACAGTGAGATGTTTCGAGCCAAACAAATGTAGCAGCGGAGTCATACAGTGGAGGCAGCGAGACTTGCAGTGCTCTGAATATTAAAAAGACTTCTCTTCAATGGAAGAGAAAATGTGACAAGTGAAGAGAAATCTAAAATGACAGCAGGCTTTCAGTCCCGTTCACGTTCAAGAGGTTTAAACTGTCTCCCTTTCTTTTCACTCCATCTTTCCGTCTACCTCGTTCTCTCTCTGTCTGAATCAGTCACTGGATATGACTGCATTCAGAGTCAAGGTGTCTGTTGCTTGTCAACACCAGGGTTACGTCAGTCAAAGTGATGCACCGAGCAGCCGTTCTGCTTGCACACACACGCTAGACACTACTCACTCATAAGCGCGTGAGGTGTACATAGCGTGGTGACACAAAAATGCTCAGGTGTATATTGACTGTGACAGTTAGCGATGACTAGCCTTCCTCGGAGAAGATGACAAACCCAGAACGCTTTGACTTCCGAGGGAATGACAAGACGTTACAGTCTTTGGAAAAGAGCTGGTGTGTGACTGATATAATGGCTGCTTGCCTGCTGAAGATAGCATCTCTGAAAGCTTGGCTTGTCATGAGCTGTCCTGCGAGTGCTGATTTCAAGAGCATTTTACTATTATATTGAGAAAATGAGCTAAGAATTCTCAGCAAAGCATCTCATCCGTCCTTTATGCCGTCTTAATCTCATGTCAGCTCACACGATGGAACTTTTTCTTGCTTGGAGTGAACAAAGGACAAGGGGAAAAAAAAATGTGGACACATTGTAAGGCCACTATGGTGATCAAACACCGACATTCACTCAGTTCAGGAATTTTTAATTGACTTTAGCTGCATGTTTTTATATAGAAACTTGGGGGAGAACAAATAAACGCCAGCTTTATATATGCTTGCTCTCCTCCACAGAAAGATGTCAAAGGTCAGGGTTAAATGTCGAAATGGTCTAAATCCTACTTCAGGACTGTGTAAATCCGCAGAGGAACAAAAAAGATCAGGTGTGTTCGGTGCAACATCCAACAGAACTTCAGGTCAGTGCAGCTTTACATTCGTGGATGCCAACATTTTACACACTTTCCTCAAAGTTGCCTCTATGGTACCTGAGATAAATCCATTATCCTCGACGTACTAAAGCTGAATGTGTTTTGCAGCAGCAGGTAATAAAGACTGAGGTCGCTCGTCCCCACCTGTTCATACTTCTCCAGCTCTGTGTGGTAAATTTGCCGGATCTGCGACAGCTTGGCCCGGTAGTCAGAGTGTTCTGCCGAGTTGTCGGCGCCGATTCCGCCGGTGGCCGCCGCAGCCGCTGCCGCAGCCGCCGACCCGCCGCCCTTCTCCGGCCCGGCCACGCCCTCCGCCAGCAGCATGTTGTCCAGCCGCATCAGCTGGGGGTCTGGAGGCTCCTCCTCCTGGGCGCCGCGGATACTGAGCACTGCAGGGAGATGACATGAAAACAATGAGGCTCAGCAGCTCCGTTTACATGAACGTTCACAATCACTGCACAGCAAGACATAAGAGTTTTACAACAGCTTAAAAAGAAAGAGTCTTAGCTATTCTTCCTCCCTGAAATATGCTGTCGTTATAATAGTTCAAGTCTGTGCCATAAAAATCTGCAGCCTCACACAGGCTGGCAGATAAGCAACACCATAAAACTATCATTTCATCGATTCTGACTATCATTTTTTTGGAAAAAAACAAAAAAGAATTCACACGGCCTTCCACCAGAGTTCATCTTTCATTGCTCTCCGTATGCTCAGACTATGTTTAGCTACTAGCTGATAGCTTTATTATCCTGTCAGCTGCCACCTAAACAGAAAAACAAACTAATAACAAAAGTCGGACGCAGTGTATTAACCTCAAAACACCTGGCTTACATAAATCAGTTAAGTGGATTAGAGAATTTGAGCTAAATAAAACCGTGCTGGATGTAGACACACAAACTGATAACGGCTACTTCAATAAAATCAGCCAAGACGTAATTCACTGGAGTCATTAGAATTAATTACCAGCAGCAGTGATTAAACATTTTTCTCAAACTGGATGTTCGGCATTATGGATTGTTTCACCGCGCATCATAAAAATAAATTAAATTTGCATTCTAACACCACACCTGTACACCAGCGCCGCTTTCATAGTTAGAATCCTAATGTGGTGAGAGAAAGGATGGCTTTGTTTACGCTGTTGTTTAGGACGGTGATTTAACCTAAACTGAGCTCTCAATTGACACTCATCTCCCATGGTGAGGAGACTGGAGTGTAAACACAACAAAGACAGGCCTGCTGAGGCGGCCATGCACAAATGACAAACACACTACGTCAGACTAATGTGTACACACACACACAAACACAAACACACAAATGCAGTTATTCTGAGAAACATCTGCGTTCCTCAACTATATTCTGCTGACTCCTTCCACAAAGCTGTTTCCTCTTTACTATTTCGTCACCGGCTCTAAACACACACAGGTGTTTCGCCGCCGGTTTCCGTCTGAGGATCGGCTCCATTGTCCTGCCTCTCTCTGCCACCAGAAGGCTCCCTCGGTAAAGAAGCAAGAGCGTCCTGCTTTTCTCTGAGGTGCTGAAAACAGCCGACCAGGTGCAGCCCTCCATTCCATCCACTGTCTTCAAGGACAAAGACGAAGCTGGCGGCCACATGCACCTCAACGCGAGCGTCTAGCAAAAATGCTTCAAGAGCACGATCCTGCACGGCGTAGCGAGCGACTCCTCCGTGATGACTGTAGACAGTGAGGGTAAATGACAGGCCGTGTGACAGAGCAGTAAAGCCATATTGTAGCTAAACAGTCTCAGGTCACAGCGCCGGCTCCTCTGTAATGAGGATGTAAGGTTGAGTCGCCCTGTGACCTTTCTGGTGAGCAGGGGGTCCAGATGGATTCCAGAGGCCGTGAGGGGAGCTCGTCCTCCTCTCTCTCCCAACCGCCCCCCCTCCCTCTTTTTTTTTTTTTTCCCTCCTCCAGCAACAACATCATCCATTCCCATCAGCTCCAACACGTGAGCAAGCTCAGCTCAAGAGGCAAATGTCAATGGCTATCAGACGGCTGGAAAAGGTCAGGAGTTCAGATGGGGAGCAGACGCATGTATGCATGTGTGTTCGTGTGTGTGTGTGTGTGTGTGTGTGTGTGTGTGTGTGTGCGCACGTGTGCTGGTGGATGAATATGTGGATATTTTTCATGTGAATCACACCAGCGGGAAATTATAACACTCGCCAATTTGATTCTGACAAACTAGTGGCACATCCCAACCAGAGGGGGAATCTAATGAGCCTAAGAGTGATTTATTCATTCCCTCCAAGTCCCCGAGTGCACAACTAAAAGCATGAAATGGATTAAATAAATACAATTAATAAGGAAAATCAAACAATTCACTGTGCTGTGGCATAATTACCCTAACCACAGCCATCAGCTTTATTTATTTCTGTTCAGTAATAGCAATGAAATCGATTAGACCTCAATGCCAGTCAGAGTGCTCGTTGTGAACTCTGCAACCATGGACTATACATTAACATAATCACCTGACAAAGGGAAGTGCCCTCTATTACAATAAATCACACGCTCCCAACACTTGCATAATAACACCAAAAAAAACCTTTTAAGCGCACTTTGTCGTCTATTGTCGCGACAAAGGCATGGAGTCCATACCACCGCGCCGTTCTCTTATTCCATGGACAGTCACAGATTAGTATCTATAAAAGGAAGATGGCCATCATCTCATCTTGATCATTACCGACAGACTTAATTGAACAATGAGAGGACACAATTCCCCTCTCTGTCGCTTCCTCCCTCCCTCCCTCCCTCCTTCTCTCCTTCCTCCTCCTCCTCCTCCTCCTCCTCTCTTCTTCTCTCCTTCCCTTTGTGCACGCTCTTGTATAATTCCTCTCCCTGAGATGTGGGGCACTAAACCCAAAAAGGCAAGGCATAAAAAATGAATACGTATCATAAACAATTCTCAAGCCGCTTCCTGAATAATGAATGGAATTCCAAGAATAAGCCTTTGTTTTGGCTATTGACAAAATTAATTTCTGCTGTTTTACTTCCTTAAGAGCTGGCTCATGCCCATCGCCACATTGCCTGCTGTTTGCAGACAACGGGAGTGTAAATAAACATGACGATTAAGCCACCCACTCATACAGGGAGAATCAAGGTACACGGCACGCTCGCACATGCAAACACACAGCACAAACACGCACTTTTGTGAACAAGTGTAAGCACTCATATAGGCACACACACACACAGTGAAATTACACCGCTATGCACATTGGCAGACTACCCTGAGCACCCAGCCTGGCGCCCTGCGAGCGCTTTTAAATGAAAACATGTTTAATTAATGATGTTGAAGTATTCTGTCACAATTAGGAAGATTTACAATCAAACAAGGCAGCAGTGATGTCCCTGACAGCCATGATGAAAGTTTACCCCTCTTGCCTGTGACTGGCAGCTAGCAGCCAATGCTGGACTGGATCCATTTCCCATCAATACAGTAATGCAATACACTCCTCAGCCTTGTCGTGTATATGTGTGTGTGTGTGTGTGTGTGTGTGTATGTGTGTGTGTGTGAGTCCTTTCTTGCCTAGCTCTTGTCCAAATCACATGACCCCAGAGAGGACCAGGCAGTGGCTGTGCTCTCTATTGATTGTGTGGGCACACGTCATCTAGGGTTTCAGCAGTTAATAAATCAGGCCTGCTCCTGACACAAACGTGTGTGTGTGTGTGTGCGCGCATGTGTGTGTGTGTGTGTGTATACATCCGTGTGTGTGTGTGGGCCTGTCACAGAGCAGTCAGCAGGAGTGAAAGCGACAGCCACATGATAATGTAACATCACCACCATTCATCCCTGCCACACAGCATTCTGAGACAAAACAACAACAACCTAGGAACCTGAAAAAAGCAGCGTGATTTACAGCAGACATGACAAGTATCACTAATACAAATCCTCCCCTCCCCGCTCCTTCAAGGAGTTCAGCATCCTGCCCTCATCTGCATTTGATACAAGCCCAGCGAATGCAGTCTCGGTGCGACGCAGCCGTACGCGGCGGCATTTTATGCTGACCCACAGAATGCATTCGCTAAACAAAGCTATCATCATTACCGAGAACATCAAATGAAAATTATCCAATTTGCTATATATGTGGTCATTTCTACTCAATTGAATCCGGGCTTTAATAAAGGAAGAACAGTCATTATGAATGCACTAATCAGAGAATGCTAGAGAGTCTCCAATATGAAAACAGCTGTTATATTCTAAATATTTTGCTACTCAAATAGTCTACAAATCTATTTTTAAAAAAAATGTATTTCTAATTTAGTGTAGCTGAAAGCTGGATTTGTGATGCATGCATGAACTGATGAGAAATTTTCTCAGGCCCAAGATGCTCTCTTCAATGAGATAATGAAAAGCTGTTTAAAGATTACTGCAGCGATTTAGCTCCGGCCTCCTATAACGCCGTCTGACTGCACAGATACACGGAAACGTATTATATTCCATTCATTCTTTCTTCTCCTCAAAGTCTGGCGCCTACGTTACCCACAATGCAACAGTATCAGCAAAGGCATGAAAGACAAAAATAATGCTTAAAAAAAAAAAAGCTCAGATGACATTTAAGAGACTTCATGTGACTTTGATCTGCGTAGTTCTCCTCAAATGTGAACCAAACACAAGCAGCCTTGTGAGAGTTTTGCCTGCACGAAATACAGTAAAAAAAAACGGGTCAAATTAAGGTTACTTTGAGAAGGCACACACAGCAATGAGAGTTTCAGTCCATTAAAATGAAAACACATCGCTCAGCTCCTCTCCTGTACACTTGGTTTGATTCACCAAGTGTCATTGTGTACTGGCTGTTTTAATTTTGATGGATTAAAATGAGATTTGCAACGAGAAACTGTCTCTTAAAGCCGGGCGGATTAGGTTTAGCACATTATCAATTCATCTGCTGCTATTTTCTTGATTAACCTGCTAATTGTTTGGTCGATAAAATGTCAGGAAATAATGAAAAATGACCAAAGCTGCTGTTTTCTGAGTATTTTCCTGTGCAAACCACACCACAAAAAAAAGCAAATTTACTATCAAATGAAACAAAGAAAATTCAGCAAATCCTCAAATGCTTGATGGAGGGAATATTTGGCACTTTTGCATGAAAAATGATCAAAAATCTTACTGATTTAATGAGTTAATCACAGTTTCGGCTCTACAGGAGACTATGAATCTACTGATTTTAGCTTTTAGGCTTTATAGTGTCCAATACTCTGCTCTACAAACACATTTCAGTTGGTACCAATAAAGCAATCATCATAAAACGCTGCATTGTGCCATATTTCACGCTGACCCACAGAGTAGAGGTAAACTACTAAGCAACGCTATTATCATTACTGAGAACACTAAATGAATATTATGTTACATTACATCCAATTTACTGTGTGTA